GGTGTATTACTTCATACTGTTGCTTTGTGCCTTCAAGTTATTTCCAACTTAAAGCAATCCCAAGAAAACCCTTTGTTGTTGTCATGTGCCTTCAAGTCATTTCCGATGTATGGCAAATCTATAATGGTGTTTTCTTGGCAAGATTTGTTCAGAGGGGATTTGCCATGGCCTTTCTCCTGAGGCTGAGAGCGTGTGACTTCTCCATAGTCACCCAGTGGGTTTCATGGCCAAGATGAGAATCAAACCCTGGTCTCCAGAGCTGTTGTCCAACACTCAAACCACTACACCATGCTGGCTTTCGAGACAACCCTATCTATGGAATTTTCCTGGCAAAATTTATTCAGAAGAGGTTTACCTTTGCTTTTCTCTGAGGATAAGTGTGTGTGACCTGCCTATGGACACCCAGTGGGTTTCCATTGCCAAGTGGGAATTTGAACCCCGCTCTCCGGAGTCATAGTCCAATGCTCAAACCACTACACCACACCGGCTATTGTTTCACTTACTTCTGTTGCGTTTGATGTCCTTCCAATCCATTCCAATGGGTAAGATCTTGAACATCTCCCCCAAAGCCCTGCCCTGATGCCACCAGTGTGGAGTGGGTTTGCTTCAGCTACTGCAAGACTGAGAAACAATGACAAAAGCTGTATGTAGAGAGATCTTGTAGCACCTTTGAGACTAACTGAAATAAGGAAGTTGGCAGCATGAGCTTTCGTAGACTTCAGTCTACTTCCTCAGATGCATGACTAACTCTTCATCCCAACGTAAGTAGCCTTCTAGTGAAGTATAACAAGCATAACAAGGAACTATATTTTGAATAGCAAGTTCAGACACCATCCCTAAGAGGAAGCAGGAAAAAGGAACTGGCAAACCACTTTCAGTTCAGAAGGTGAACCTTCCTGCTCACAGGCCTAAAGAACAGGAACATCTCTTAGAAAAGAAGACAGAAATCCCTTTCAGTAAAGGCTGAAATGTAGAATTGAGAGTTGTCAGCAATCTCCCATTCCAACTGCCACTGTTGCTGCTTGTAACAACCATCTGATAAACAGAAATTTAAGTGAAGCTTCTTAAATCTTTATACCTGGAAAATCTTTGCCTGTGTGTGTAGTGTTTGCAACGAGAATAAGAGGCCTCTGTGGAAGAAAGAGAGATCATTTAGACAGAGCAAGGGTAGGGGACTTCTAGTTCTTCACATCTTTCTGGTGTATAACTACCATTATTCCTGAATTTCCATATAGGTTTGGAGCTTAACATCTTGAGGGTCAGATTTCCCGAAGTGAAGCTGGAAAGATGAGTATGTGTTTCTGTTATCTTCTGGGGGAAGACAGGAAACCGTCATCTGGGGATCTGAAGGTGAAGAAGACTGAAAGCTAGCAGCAAGTAGCAGCTGAGAGAGGACCCTGCCTCTGCTTCAATTCTGGAATTGAAGAATTTGGAACTGGAGAGGGTCAAGCCTTAACTGGGCTTAGTGCCAGCATTTCAACAAAATGCGACAGACCAGCTGTGAAGTAATCACACCAAAAAAAGTCCCTCTAAGCGTTTAAGTCCCTCTAAACACCCATTCTCTCTGTACCGAGGGAATCGAAACCACCAGGACTGTCTTCTGCATCTTTAACAGCAGTGTAGAAACAACAGAGACAAGTTTAGTATGCATGAAATTTCCCTCTTCTATGCAAGTGGACAAATATAGGAGCACCTCTTCCCTTCCGTGGCGCTAGGTCACAGAATCTGGAAAGATGGAGCACTTCCTAGGCAGAATAAGTTGTTTCCACCTCTGGCAAGTTAAAAGTCTGCTTGTATGATAGCCAGGAGGCTGTTGGACTAGCTGTTGCAGCAAAGCAGCACTTTCAGGATTTGCATTGTCGTCTCTTCCAGCTCTGATTCCAGGTCCATTTTTGTGGCTCCACTTCACTTACTACAAACCCAGTCTTTCTCAGTTTTCAAAGCCTCTAGCATCTGTGCTCACCCTTTGTTCTACTCTCGCCCCATTCAGATCCCATACATGGCCCTCCAACTTACCCAGCTGACAGCTACTGTATGGAGTGCAGCTGGAAACCTGACGCACTTTGCTTAGGGTGGAGCAGGAAGGAGCTGTGGTCATTGCAATGAAGTATTTGTGTGTGTGTGTGTGTGTAAGCAAGCATGAGCTTGTGCCCCATACATCCCTGTGCAATCTGTCTAGCTCACAGTCTTCTTTGGTATTAACTCTTACTAAAACTGAAACAATGGCAATGATTTTCTGGAGTTTCATAGGCATCCAGAACATGGCAGTGATGCAAATTATAGCACACAAAGACTGAGCCTTGTAGGCTGGAAAAATTCGTCTTTACAGCTGAAAAAAACATACGATTACACTGCCTACTGAAAACTCAGATGGCAGGGTGGCAACTCAGTAAGATTTCTGATTGTAGAGACTTGGGCTCTGCAGAAACGTATGTTCTCCCTACTTCCAGCAAAATCAGAATTACACAAACAGCAGCAAGATATTTTGGGGTGGTGGGGAGGCATGGTTTTAAAACATTTTAGTGCCATAGACCTGTTTAGCTGTACAAGTTGAGTTTCCCTTACCTGAAATGCTTGAGATCAGAAGTGTTTTGGATTTTGGAATCTTTGCATATACAGGGGCTGCATCCACATTACAGAAATAATCCAGTTTGATACCATTTTAACTGCCATGGCTCAATGCTATGGAATTCTGGGAATTGTAGTTTGCTGTGACACCAGAGAATTAGTTTCTAATCTGTTCCACAGGGATGTTAAAGATGGGAATAACTTTCTACATTGTTCTAAGGAAGGAAGAGCTGGATACCTTTTAGTTCTATAGCTATTTGTAGCAATAATGGCTTGAAATTAGATGAAAGCAAGTAGCTCCCAAGGGTTGTGCTTATTGGAGTGAAACCAAACCCTTTCTAAGCTGACAGCTGAGCTCCTTCCTAAGCTGACAGAAGCTTCATGTAAGACTGCAGAAGTCCTGACCTAACTTTTAAAATATTTCCTGTACCCACAGTGCTTTGTAGCTCAAGTATTCACATACTGGGAAAAAGAGCTGCACTTTAATGTCAGCCAAGGCTCATGTGCAAGCTTCCGGTCAAAAAGGCAGCATGATAACTAAGATTCCCCAAGGTACCACCAACCAGTACAAGCAACACTGAGCTACACAGACACAGTACTTACTCATTAAATGACAAGTTCATATGGCAAAGGGGTGTCCCTTCCACCTGCAGCTCTCCACTTGGCACAGCCGTGAAGCCATACGGAAGGATGACATTTCTCCTTGAAGAAAGTATCTAAATCAAAAGTGGGGCACCTATGACCCTCGTGTTTCTAGACTACAAACTCACTATCCCTTACTATTGGACATACTGTCTTGGGCTGATGGTAGCTGAAATCCAAGACCACCTGGACCACCATAGGTTCCATACCGTCTTACAATATAAACTCCTGGTTACTTGCTCCCCCAAGTTGTTGTTGTGTGCCTTTGTGTCCAACTAGGCTGACCCTAAGAAAAACCTATCATAGGGTTTTCTGGGGCTGAGAGTGTGTGACTCACCTAAGATCACCCAGTGGGTTTCTATGGCTGAGAGGGGAATCAAATCCTGCTTTCCATAGGTGAAGTCCAAAGCTCAAATTGATACCCCAGCACAAAAAAAGCCTGAGACTTCAACTCTATCCATAGTGCTCCCCATTACTAAATCTTAGTTTGTAAGTTCTTCTGAATACCTAAGTCTGTCCTCTTTTACTTTGTAAAGTATCGTGCACAGTGAATAGCATCCAATAGCTGTTGGTACAAAAATCTAGCCATGCTTGTGTATATAATAACCAACCAGGTAAGTACAGAAAATGAGAAATTCAGTGCTGGCAAATGACCAGGACAAGAAATGGAACAGTTGTTTCTTGGCTAGCCATAGAGAAGGGGTAGTAAAACTTTAAATTCTCAATCATCACAAATGTGATGCCTACTCAACTGTGGATCTGTTCCTCTAATGTAATTGTGTATTAAAAAAAAAAAAAAAAGGGGAGGGGAAGGATTGCACCCATGAGTTCTCTAATCTTCCTCTGGTTTTCAAATGCATGGTCTCTTATGACTGTATGTAGCATATCTACCAAAATTTCACTTGTGAAACAAAGTGCACAAGTCTCCCTCTGTCAGGACAATTTATATCATGTATAGGACTTTTATCAGAAGTTGACTGTCTTCCAAACCTTTCAAGGGTGTCCCTGCCAGATACATGAGGTACTGCACCACCAAACAAATGCTACTGCAGCAAACAGCTTCCAAAGACCAACACCTTTAATGGAAAAAAATTGTATTTTGGGGCAGTTGCACATGAGAGGCTCATGCCTTTACAGCATATTTCCGAGGGGGGTATAAGCGCTCTTTCCGCTGCTGTTTTTTGGTCTTCAGACCCTCTTCATGTTTGGTTAGCCTACGCCGCATGGCACGTGTCTTCTTAGGCCGCAAGTCCAGAGGCTTGTACTTTTTGCCCTGTTTGGAGAAGAGACAGTTAAATACAAGTCTTATAAAGCACCTTTGAAAGAGACAGAAACGCGCATAGAAAAAATACAAGCAAGAGTGGTCTGTGCGAGAACCCTTCTGCTTAAACAGAATCGCAGGAGCCAAAGATAAGCTTCAGGTTCTGGAAGGTATATACAGAAGAATATGACCTTTGAGGTTAACCAGGTCCCAAGTCATTTAGGGCTGAGGCAGGTTGAAATCAGCACTTTAAATTCAGTCTGGAAATGAAATAAAAGCAAATGCATCTGACAATGTGGTCAAATGACCCAATCCCAGTTAATATTTTGATGTCTTTATTCTGAACCAACTGCAGTTTTGGAACCATTTAAAAGGCAGCCCCAAATATTGCTGCAGCTGATTGTGAATGTTGGCCATAGACAATGCAAAATCCTCTTCTCTGTAGCCAGCATAAAAAAAAAGGAGGATACTAACCCAATAGCCTTTCTATTACTTTGTGGCCAGCATGATAATGGACTGGTGGAACAGGAATGGACTACGGAGGACTTTTTTGCAAGCCTACCAACACTGATTTAGGTTGCTGGGACTTCATTTTTTCCATCAAGGTTGCTGACTGAAACGTTTCCAGGAGTCACATCATCAGCCATAAGCCCTTCGAAAGGTACGTTTCACATAAGCTCCCTGATCACTGCCTAGAACTAAACTGCCCTCAGAGCACTGTGTACCTACCAGACAACTACATGGACCAGAATGGGCCAGCAAAAGCCATCCAGCAGGAAAATACTGTAGCAAGAGCAGATTCACACTGCATCCACAGGATTCTGAGCAGTGCTGGGTGATAGCCTTGCAAACTGACTTGAGAGAGGTCACCCTTCCCTGCCCCCAAATTACCCAGGTTTTTTTTTTTTTCTATTTTGTCAACTTACGGTTCTTGAAGCTCTCCAGAGGTCTTATATGGCAATCTGATACTTTCCTATTGACTTACTGATTTCAGTTTTCCCACCCCTGGCTTCAGTA